ATTTTTCAAAAATTCACAATAAATGTTTTGTATTTTCATAAAAACGATTTGCAACATTTTTCTAAAACGGCAGTTTTGTAGAGAAAACATTTCTCTACAAGATGATATATAATAGTTAATTTTAAAATTTTTTGTTTCCTTTTAGAAAGCTTTTTTCTCAAACCTACGGTCGGTTAATAACCGCGGTTATAACCGATACGCCTTCTATCAAAAACGCTTTTTAAAGAAACCAAAAACCTTTACAATTAACTATTATATATCATCTTGTAGAGAAACGTTTTCTCTACAAAACTGCCGTTTTAGAAAAATGTTGCAAATCGTTTTTATGAAAATACAAAACATTTATTGTGAATTTTTGAAAAATACGAAAAAATAACCGGTGCACTCTTATTAGTGTACAGTAAGCAAAACATTTTCTTTTTGGGTTCTTTTTCCCTTCTTTTCTTAGTGGTTCTCGCACATTCTTTTTTCTTAATCAACATTTTTCTTCTCTTAAGGGGTAGCGGAACAAAATCTTTTTTGCTTTTTGTGCAGCATTTTATCGGCTCTGTCAATCTGCAGTCTTAGTTTTGCCTAATCTCGTTTAGTTTCTGTGAAAACTTCGCTGAAATTTCTGGTCCTCGAAAAGTTCAAAAACCGTGTCCCACCCCCTTTTGAGGCTACTGCGCAGCCCATAAGTACTTTAAGTCAAATATTTTTCCATGAAAAGATTTACCAAAGTAGGCACTATAGATTGTTGAAAACCGCAAGTTGCCAGCTTTTTTCGTTTTTGAGTAATTGACATTTTACTGACGTCCAGTGGCTTGTGACATACAATTTGTCCCACCCCCTTTTGACTCTCCCCTAACCGAACTACATGGAATTCAGAACTCGTTTTTTTACCATATATGTCAAATGGGTAGCACAAGTTATGCTGTAAATAGCAAGGCTTCAGCTTATTTCTAAAGGAAGAAATTTGAAAAATACATCAAAATGTCCCACCCCCAAACATATCTCTAGAATTGTTTTGGCTAGCACATAAAGCCTCAGGTTATACGATTATACGTATTTTGACACCCTGAATTGAATGGCCGGCTCAGCAAAAGATTTTTGGAAAACCTGGATTTCTAGAGGCCCAAGCTTAGAAAGTGTCAAAAAAACACTTTTTAAGGATGCCAGTTGGTAAAGGACATGTGCAAATCCATGTTTCAATACATTTTTAAGCTAAATTATAATTCTTCACCCAAATTATGTCAGAATAACAAGGTGTACTCTATTTTACCTGCTCAATACTATGCAGTTGAATATAAGCTTTACAAATCAACAGAAAATATCTTGGTTTTTGAAAAGGTTTTCTAGAAATTCTCCGAAGTACAAGAATGTTTTTTACTATTCTTAAGTAGAAAAACATATAGAGCAGGTAAAACAGAGTACGTCTTATTATTCTGACCTAATTTGGGTGGATCTTGACTGGGTTATGGATTCTATAATTTTACTCAAAAATAGGTAACAATAGGTTATTTCACCTAATATAGGTTTTCACAAGGTTTTTGAAAGTTAATTGAAAAACAAATGTCGTCACGAGATTCAGCGTGGTCGATCATCTATGTTTCCGTTCGTTTTCAGAATTACCACACCTAAGGAGATATCGATCCTGGGGCTCTCAGGAAATCCGATACCACATCCGAAGCAAGAAAAATTAAGAGTTCGTTTAGTTCTCATTTTCGAGAGCACACATTGGACTATCTGCCTATGAAAAAAAACTGATAGATTGGTATCCAGTTTCCCGAGATCCGGACTTGCTTTCAAAAGATCCCCTAGAAAACCGGTCTTCTGAATGCTTTCGGAAAACTGTTTTGCTTATAAAAACATTGGCTAAACTGTCCTCTTCTCATCGCTGAAAACCGTTGGTCTCTAGCTTTTGTCGTCTTTGAGTTAATGATCATACGCTAATTAGTATGTCTGGTGTACAAAAAGTTAATGACTTTCCATAAACCTTTCGGTCTCTAAATCCAAAAAAAGAAAAAACTGGTAGTTTGCAAAACTAATTGGTCTTACACTTTGAAGTATCCTCTATCCGCTAATGACACTATTAAGTACAGCCGCTTACTGTTTTTTGGAATCATTTTTTGAAAAAGAATGGTACAATACACCAGAATCAACATCGCAGTAGAGTTATTTTATAGACAATCTTTGCTTGTATATAATATGCTTTAAAAAGTTTGAAAAGTTTTCGAACGATATAGGTTTTTTAAGTGAAACATTGTAAAAAGAGTGTTTTCTCTACTTTTAACCATAAAAAGTAATTTTTGAAAACCTTGCAACGATTGCGCGATCAAAAATGATGACTCACCAGCGGCCACGTGGCAGATGTGAGTGGGTAAAGGATAGTCTGGGTTTTAACTAAATAATGACACAAACTCGACCTCTCTATCACCTTACAAAGCTGAGATAGTTTATTTCTACTGAAACCAGTGTCTCAAGCTCAAACTGCTATTTTTGCAGTGGGACGAGTTGTGAAACCTTCATAGCTCAGTAACATACATTAAGAGTAAGAGACAAGAGTAGTAAGATACATTGCGTTTTCAATCGCTAAGCGTCATCTTACTCAGAAGTGACTGATCTTCCACATCAGTTCGAAAAAAGTCGAATTCTTTTCCCATTCTGAACACCTGTCTATGGGACTAGATCGTGGCTTACATGCAATGGCTGATAGATATGCAACATAAACATTTATATTATCCAAGAAACAATCCGTTATTTATTAGTAAATTAATTCAACATAGTGATAGTTTAAAATCAGATGTACTTAAAGATACTGTTATCCTAGGTGACCAAAAGTGTGGAAATCAGATACGAATCTTATAGAAATCTTACAAAGGTCTTATATGCCTTAGTCGAGATAAAGACATACTGTAGTGATAAGATTCTTATATTCTTGTCAAATTTTTTCTACTTTTTATTTACAATATTCTTATCGAAAACTTATGAAATTTTTACTCATCCCATCTTTGGCTATGAAAAGGTTACACATGAGCAATAAGAAATTCAAGGTTATCGGCACTCATTATGTTACTATATTATTCCCTGATCCTTTGTTTGATTATTGATTATACACTTTTTCACAGCTTTCGAAAAGCAGAACATGATACTTCATGTAGGTTATTTTACTACAATTTGCTCTTAACTATCTCACACTTAAGCTAATTTTTAAATTCTTAGACCAGTTTAGTGATTTATGATTTCAATGGTGTATCCATACAGTATATAAATAGTCAATATATGTGTGTTTTTCTTTTCTGATTATGATTCACACATTGTTTGGCTGCAATATGATGATGTTAAAGAAGAAAAATAATAAAAATAAAAATGTCAAATGTTTGACTTGAGTGGCAGAAAAAGGAAGAACAGATTTTTTTAAACAGTAAAGAGAAAAAAAATGGACCCTTTAACCTGTTTTCTGGGATTTAACCTCTTAAGCAGAATTAAAAACTATATAACTAGCTATGATTTAATGTGAGATATTGCTATTATTTAACAGTTAATAAAAAGTAATGGATAATCAAAGTGAGTTAAAAAGTTCATTGTTCACACTCCTCGATCTTAATTCAATTTTCTGCTTTATTCAGTTTTAACTAATTCATCCTGTTTCGAAGGAGAACAACCATTTCCTGAGTCATTCAGGGAATTAATCAAGGAATATGGTTTGTGTGAACTTATGGCTAATCCACTTGATAGTTCAGATGGAGAAACACTAGGTAGAAGATTTGATGGTTAACCTTTTCCACAGTCTAACCAGTGTTTATTTTCTACAAATTTAATTTTATCAGACAATTCTCACCATCTGATAGATATATTGCCGAGTTCAACAGTATCAATCGTCAATACGAACACGGTCGATGAAGATAGTCCAGATAGTGAAGGTATGCAATTCCTTTTTTCCTCAAGCGGTTTACAGTCTGTGCTTTTTCAGGTTTTCAGTCGCCTCACGAATCAATGGATTTATACCATAATGCTCCTGATTCATTTGGTCAACAATCAGTTGAATATAAAATGGGAGACGATGAAACAACGGATATTCTTTACACTCATAATATGAGGAAAGAACAAGTTGATTTAGAACTTCTCTTTACAGAAGATAGTAATTCATATGCAGGTAATCAAACTCCTTTTAGTATTTGAATAAATCGCTACTATGTATATGGGCTGTACTGAAATCTATAATTTTACAAATCGAAGATGATATATTCTCAACTAACAGGTACGTTATTTTTAAGAATTTAATGGGGAATTAGATGTATGGAAAATAATAGATACTTATGGAAATCAATCAGCTAGTTCATCAATAGGTGAGTTTCTCGATAAATTTATTCAATAAATTGAAATAACTTTACTTTTTGTTCAGATCAATCTGCATCATTTCCAGATACTAGACGACGACAGTTAGTGATAAAAAATGGTTTTGATATATATTTTCGTAAACAATATAAAACGGATACATTCAGATCAGACGGTTCAAAATCACCGCATTATCTGTTTGACAGGAGTGAGATTTATCATCCAATACTCACGGTTAGTTTACTACTATCAGTTTTCCTTATTAAATATTTCTCTTTCTCTTGATTTAGTTTCCAGAAATATACATGAATGAAAATAATCTGTTAGTTGAAGCAGTTTTATTGACTGTGCCTTATAATAATCAATACTATTATCATGTGGATAAATTTCAATGTGATAATAAAAACGATCAAATTATTGATCGTAATCCGTCCTATTATAAAATTGACCAACAGCATATTCTTACAGGGGAAATACAGTAAGTTTAAAATGCCATTGAAAGAAGAAATATAAAATATTGCTGTTTTTTGAGATTAAAAATTGCAATTATTGTACAAAAATTAATCAGCGAGATGAAAGGATTTAAAATAGAACCGTTTAAAGAAGACAGAACAGTTTGCGAGCCAATATGTGAGTAAAATATCTGTGTTAAAGACTTTTCATCTAACTTTTTTAATTATAGTCGAAAAATTACCACAGAAACAATTCAACGATAAATACAACTTACAAAACATAGTTCTAATGTTTACACTATGTAAATATATGGGTAATGAAGAATTGAGAAGTACGGGTGGTGATGGTAGTCCATTGATCAACAATATCAGTTCATATGATGTTGAAAGATTTATAGAAACAAAAGTAATATCAACAGTAATCGAAGGAAAAACAAGTAAGAAATTGGATTAAACAAGTTCCTTTTGTGAATATTGCAGTTTGACTTTAGGTATTGAACTTGCTAGTTTGAGACCTCGTAAACCTAAACGAAAGAAAGAGGTATTATCGACTCCTAACCCTAATAAAAAGAGTCGGTCGACGGTCAACAAATGAGGTAAGCGATTACAACTAACTTAAAACTTCTTTAATAAAAAAACTAAAGCCATTTTAGCGCAATGAAGATGTTAAAAAAATGTAAGAAGATGTTGCTGGTTAATTTTATAATATAACGGATCACGATCAATAATTTGATCGTTTTTATTATCACATTGAAATTTATTCACATGATAATAGTATTGATTATTATGAAGCATATTCAATAAAACTGCTTCAACTAACAGATTATTTTCATTCATGTATATTTCTATAAATTTTCCTGTTAATTAACTTTTATTATCTTTCTTTTTAATCTGTTATTATCTTTAAGTTTTTTTAAATAAACTTAAAGTTATTAGCGTCGATTTCTTTTATAAATCAATAAAAGTTTTAAAGATTTAAAGATATCGAACTTGAATAAGCTTTTAATTTGTTTTCATACTAGAGAAAACCTTTTGAAAATTGTCATTTGAGAAAGGTTATTGGATGAAATAGCGTTACGTCTTATCTTTTAACTATTTTAAATATAGGTGCTCTCTAAACAGAAAAAAAGGGTCAGGATGGAACGTTTCCTTTGTTTCGAGCCCAATTCGTGAACTTTTTTCTTTGTTTAAGGATTGGGTGCACACAAAGGAAAGGTTCCATCCTGACTCCTTTCTTTTTTAGAAAGAGATTTACTACAGCAAAGAAAGGAGATGGGTTTTGATAGTTTATTTTCTGGGTTTGTTCTCATACAGAAGACAGATGAATCATTCGTAAAGAGAAAAACTGAGACAATAAATAACAGGTTTGGCTCTTCCAAGCAATAAAATTTACTTTTTGTGGCGTTTTGAAAGAAAAAAAAGAAAAAACAGATAGTGGGTATATGAAAACGTTTCCTTTATCTGATTGATCACACACAAGGTAACCACAAAAATATTTTATTATAGACTTAGCAACATTTAGGCCTTAGTAACAAATGGAGGGAATACTAAGATTTTCTTGGAGCCTCTTAACCTGTAAACATTCATATAGTATCAAGCCGAAAATTATTTTGAAACTAAATATCTCACACATTCGGAGATCACATTCCGAAAAAAATGTTTGAGCGCGATGTTGGGCGGTGAATTCCGTCCTAGGCGACTACATCAAGGTGCCCGCCCGGCGATTGCTGAAAAATTTAACTGGCATTGCCTTTTCTTGCTTCGTACCTCCTACTGAAAAGATTTTCAGATACAATATTGTCCGGGCTATCCACAGCCTCCAGACAGTTGGAATGGCGATGGTGCGCGGCTTCTCCTGAATTGTCTTGATTATTGCGCTCTCGTGTGCAAACCTACTCTATAAAACAAACATTACAGAATCCAAAATAGCAGGGGTGCGCAGGGCTGCCAGATCCGGCATCCCTGCGCACCCCTGCCAAGACAATGCCAAATGAATGCGCATTCCTGCCATTTCCAGCATCCGTGTGCATCCCTGCAGAAAAACGTCGCACAGATGCCAAAAAAATGCGCACCGCTACTATTCTCAGAATCTATGCACCCTACCTGAAAATATGCTGATTAGATGCGCATTCGTATGGAAGAGTGCCTAGAAAAAACTTATTTTGCACCGTCGGGATACTGTATCACAACGAGTTCCATTGCTCCAGGATGCTGTGTGGATGCCACATCACAATGGAATCCACGAGTTATACTAATAGATCCCATTATGATGCGGCTTTGGTGGTGCATCCAATACTGTGTTCGCGGTCTCATCTTCGAACACTGAATCTTCGTTTGATACGCGATACATTCATAGTAATTTCTACAAAAAAGCTGGATGCGGCAGCGCGTTATTGTTTTAAAAAAATCTAATAATGTAATACTACGTATTGAAAAATGTTTAATACTTATTTAACACTATGTTCTGCGACGTTTATCTTCGATCAAAAGAAAAGCTTTTTTTTGAAAACGAACCTTTTATTGCCCTTCGCTCATGTAACGTTCACATTGACGAAATACAAAGCAAACAGTACGCTCATTTGGCTGAGCGGGTAAGTACTTTGGTTTGTAATTTGTCTTCTGTTGTCAAACAGAAAAAGCCTTTTGGTTTTTAACTACGCTTTTTTCCGTTTGGGGTGATAAAAAAGCCCTTACTTGCCAAGGACTTTCACAGAGTACTGCTTAGCAATAAAAGCAAGTATTTTTGTCATTGAGAAGTACTTCTGAAAGTACAAGACAAGTGAGAAATTTTGAAAACACTTGCCAATAATAATATATCAGGTACGGAATGTGGGATGTAATGGATATGTGCGAAATGAAAGAGAACAAGCATCTATCGTTCTCCCATACAGAGACATTCGTTGTACATATTTCCATATGCGAAAAATCAAAGATAAGATACATGCCAGATGGTACGTCCATTCAGGCCTACCCACCATTACATGACATAATAGCTGCAAAATTTTCAACACTCCTGTCGTGTAGAGCATACAAAGTTACATAGAATCCCATATTTGTTCGCTAAACCAGTTATATTACGTAAGGGAAGTTAGCAGCAGATTTCTATATTTTCGCCTAACGTTTTCTATTAAAGCTGTGCCATCTTTGAAAATAAGTGTGCCAGATAGAACTCAATGAGCTCTATCGCATGGCAAAATCAGTTTTCCACAATAGTGTTGCCTTCGCTTTTAAAATGACAAATACTGATTTTCTGAACGAGACAAAAACTCAAACTTATTTCCCAAGATGACACAGCTTTAAAAAAGAACGTTAGGGGAATTTACAAAAGCTTGAGTAATATACTTTTTATGGTTAAAAGTAGCACTCGTTTTACAATGTTTCACTTAAAAAACCTATATCATTCGAAAACTTTTCAAACTTTTTAAAGCATATTATATACAAGCAAAGATTGTCTATAAAATAACTCTACTGCGATGTTGATCGGACATTCCAATAAAATATACTGAACTATTTTACAATACCATCGAAATCGAAAGTTTAATTAAAATTTAAACTTAATTAATTAATAACTCTGCGAATAGTTATCAGTTCATCGAAAAAACTGAAGGATGTAATCAGATGTCATCTTCAATCTGACATAAGTTGAGGGCATATTTTGGGGGGTGGACCGCCCCTTAAGGGAATCACCCCCAATCCCCACGAGAATCCCTGTCAAATTGGGATCAGCTCGTGAATTCTTCGCAGAAAGAAGAGCAATTTGCTGATAAAGACACTGGCGTCACCGGCTCTAGTCACCACAAAACGATGTTTTATATCGTGCACCTCTTTTTCGGATAAAAGGTTCCAGTCAAAAGAAGGTGCGACAAGGAGAAAAACAATAACACTTCACTACACTTGCAAAATGGATGCAAATCGTCCAAGTCTAACTCACTTTAGAATATTTGGCTAGAGTTATGAGCAGTTACAGTTTTCACAGTTACAATTATAACAGTTATACAGTTAACTGCAACTGGTGCATGCCTAGTTACGCGAACAAGCCATGTAGTAAATAATCTCGAAAAAAACTCGTAGTTCTCATCGAAAATTACACATCCGAATCAATCATCATCATTATAATCTTTAACTAACTTATTTTCATTATATGAAACATCGAATAGTATCCAATACATAACTGGTTAATAGTATCGTTAATTATTTTTTCTGTATGTATCTGATTCAACTCTATTTAACCACATTTGATAAAGTTTTTCGCAGATTTCAGTAGTTTTGAATGGTTCTTGAATGAATCAAACGCTTTGTTATTTATTGTCCCTTGCCCTTTACTCAACAGGGAAAGAATTATTTATTTGTCTGTATACTGAACTAACACTTGTGTAAAAATATCGGACTTCAATACATCAAAGCAACAGCTAATTTAATATCCAGCCTTATTGTCATGAAAAGGTATTTCAAGCTTCTAAGAGAGAAATTTCATGTTTAAATCGATTAAAAATAATATGGTGAGCTTGTTCGACGGTAAATCTTCTAATTTGGAATTAAAATCATTTGAATATTGTTGTAAACGATATATTAGTTGGGCAGAATTAGCTCAAAATAAACGTATATTATCTCATCACAATAAGAATTATTCATTATCCTCGTCAACCATGTTAAACTTAAATTGTAAATTTTTACCTCTATGTTGTCAATCAGTGTCAAATATTGATCTCATCAAAAAACAACAAAAAATATCGAACAATTATTTTGATCTTTATGAATTTTACAAAAATAGTTTTCATCCAAATAGTAGTGTAGTATCAATTGTGAATAATGCAAAATGTGCGTCATGTGAATTATTCAAACATATATCATTTTTTACCAATGATCATGTTGAAAATAACAACGAGACTTATACAATATGGAATCAGTTCATTCTAAAACCGAAATCGATGCTTTTCAAATCAGCCATGGCTCAAAATAATAACTGTGCTCATAACTCAACAATAACTCAACAGTTTCCAACATTAGTGACAGCCAAAGAGAATAATCAAGGAGAACAGAATGAAGAAGCGAATGTTGATATTGAATCTTTTATGAGTTTTACAGAGCGTGCAGACGATACTGAACGTTTTGTAAAACGTATAGAAAGTTGTTTAGATGTTGATGAACTAACAAAACAAAATTTTCGATTAGTTCGTTGTGAACTTAGTCTAGCGTTACGAGCTAATTTGCAAATGCCACTAATTTAAATGCAATGATGATGGAAACCTTAACAGATGATCAGAAGTTCTTCTGACAAAACATAGATTTTTCCATGGTAATTTTCGATCACTAATCTGATGATTGTTTCAAAAATTGAGTCCTTCCTGAATGAGAGTGCAAAATTCAAATTTCTGGACACCCATCAAGAACTTTCAACTGACCATATTCTGATCTGTCTAGTTTTTAAAGCTCATCGAGTCGCCTGTGTGGAAAACTACCAAACAAGCTTTAACAGAGTCATCAATATTTTAATCATCCCGGAAGGCCCGAAATTTTCAGTTTTTCATTCCATAAAATTTTCATGACTCTATTAAAACTTCTTTGGTAGTTTTCCACACAGGCGACTCGATGAGCTCTACATACTAGACGGATCAGAATATGGTCAGTTGAAAGTTCTTGATGGATGTCCAGAGATTTGAATTTTGCACTCTCATTCAGGAAGTGCTGAATCTTTAAAACGATTATCCGATTAGTGATCGAAAATTACCTTGAAAAAATCTATGTTTTGTCAGAAGAACTTCCAGTCATCAGAAAAGTTCTTGAGTAAGCCTTGCAGTTGACATACCCCAATGAAAATTTTGTATATAGTTATTACAAATACATAATTATTATAATTATTATTATTACTACTTGTTCTCATCATCTCGTCATGTGGTGTAGAATTAGAACTAATTCTAAAGATACACGCGTTCAAGCATTGTTTTGCCTACACAACTAGATTCACAGCTCCCAAAGAGGGAATCTCTTGAGGGGATAAATCACTTTGGGATTCAATCTTCTATGATAAGATAGACCCTTCTGTGTAATGGAAAAAACCAAAAGATCTTCTGATGTTCAGTCATAAATTTTTGATTGTTTTCACGACCTATATCACAGGCACTGATTTATTCAAGTGAAGAAAAGAACCTTTTTATTTTCTTGTCTGTTTGTTCCAGTTTTCCAAAAGCCACGAAAAACAAACGTTCTTGGTTTTTTTTTATTACTTACTAAGATCTATTTTGCCATAGTTTGAGTACAAAGCAATTTATTACCTCGAGAGGTACTCTAGAGAACATACTTCGGGCCAAGTACTTCGTCTGCATAATGAAGCCGGTACTTGCCTTTTTTCAAGAAGTAAATTTACTTCTAAGTACTTGTGCTCACTTGCCAAGTACTTTCAGAAAGCACTTCTTAGTAATAAGGCAACTATTTCGATCATTGACAAGTACTTAGCAAGTAACCAAGTACTTGAATCAAGTACGTTCCCTAGGGTATCCTCACCAATCTTGGGAAATACTATCTCATGGTTCGTTCCTCGAGAAAAAACATCAGAAAACCATGAAGGAGAAAAAATTCCAAAAATCGGGATTCTGCTATGTAGGGCGGGCTCTTTACTTGTTATTCTGTGTTACTTTACGAGGTAAAGTAACAAGAACTGTTATTTCTTACTACTGTCCTTTTCAAATTACGGTGCCTGTGACCATTTTTTACCAAATATTTTTTTAAAGTAGGTTTTCGAGGAGATCTTTGGAATACTAGCTCATAGACCAAAAACTTCAAGTACCAATACTTTTTCGAACGGGTTTCCAGAAAACTTTTGATCAAAACATTGTTTTTCAATTTTTCTGATCATATAATCATGTTAAATGGACAAAACTAGCTACATCCTGAAGTTTTCAAGCCATTCTTATGTTTTCCGAGTGAATTGTGAATTTTTTAATATTAAAAAATCAAGACCACTATCCTATATAATATAAAGTGTCCACCTCTCATATTTCTCTTGTGTGGTAAATCTGGTTCAGGATGATTATAGTATTTAACAGCCGCATTATGTTTGGATGTATATGGTTCATGCACAGTTGCTTCTATATCATTAGCGCTTTCTGTGGTGTTTTCTGGTAAGAAGTTAACTTTTTGTTGTTACTGTTCTCACCATTATTATCGTTTGACACTTGATTGTTTTGTTTCACTTTTCATGCTGGTGTGGCTGATTTTATTTCACGCATACGCCCAGTAATCGTAAGAAGTTAACTTTTTGTTGTTACCAAAAAACACCTTATGTTCTTTTTTGTTTCTTAAGTATTACTTAATTTCGACATGTGTATTGTGTGACTGAAGTAAAAAAGTCATAGGCGGCGGAACGTTTTCAGCCTAGGGTAGGCTCAAGCTCAACTTTATAGTAGAACTAGTGTATGTAAGAATAAAGGCTGAAAATTGCTATCTCTATTTATTACAATAGAGAATGCTGTGCGTTTCTTTGTTAGACTTTAATTCTGTTTCCAACTGTAATGGCTATCTAATCCTTTACTTTCTTCGAGAAAATCGTAAGTTTTTTTCTAGAAAAACATAAGAAAGAAAAGAGAAAAGAGAGAATTATTTAATGTGTATATATATGCATAGTTTTATTATTTGTACGTAATGTAACACTTCTGTACAACTATTGATAATGGCTGTATAAATAGGCCGAAATATTTAAAAGTTTTTATCTTTGTATTTTAAAGAATAAAAATAAAATAATAGAAATAAAAGAATTCTCTTAATATAATGGCAA